AATATTTTTTAAGTATTAGTAATTAATTAGCTACTATCCACAGTCTACTAATAGTTATAATTAATATTTAGTGGCGTATCCCTTATTTTCAATAACAGCACTGCAACGACGTGGCATGCATGCTTCAACTATTGCTTCATGTAATTCGTTTTAACTGGTGTTAAGTTTGTTTGTGACATTCTTTTGATTCATATACCAGAGATTTTCCATCGGGTTTTAATCCGGATTATTTTCTGGCCAGTCTAAAATGGATATTCGCTAAGGAAACATTTACGCTATTGGCCGTGTGTTTATGTCCATTATCATGCTGAAAGATCCAGGTTATCCAAATCATCGTCCGAGTAGGGAATCATTGTGTGCTCCAAGATATTTTTGTATTGCCATTGATCCCTTGTACCTTCAATCTTACGAAACTCCACATCCGGAAAAACACCCCCAAACTTTAATGTTACCGCCACCGTGTTTGACTATACTCCTTGGGTATTAATAAATAAAGGCATTGTTTACAGGACGACTAACGGCGTTTTCTATCGAAATTTACCATATTTATTTTTGTTTCATCAGAAAATAACACTTTTTCCCATTCTTGTCTAATTAACATATATTTTAGCGAATAATAATCGCTTCTCTTCGTATTGCTTGGTAAAAAGCGGTACCTTTCGAGAGACTCTTCCGAACAATTTAGCTTCCACTAATCTTCGGCGTATCAGTCTTGATGAGATGTTTCTCAGGTCACCAGGCGAAAAAAAATCATTTTTAATCTGGTTGGAGCCTAGACTTGGGTTTGTTTAGCCACACGAACAAAACTTTATTAACAAAACAATTTAAATGCTCAAAAATATCTTCGTAATATATCTTTTTCTTAAGTATTTTCCGAATTGGATCTTAACGCTGCGATTGACAATTTCTTTAATACATTCACGTCCCGTTTCTGAAACACTGATCATAGTAGATGTCAACTAATCAGTTGTCAAATGGCTTTTCAATTACATTTGAGTTGCCAAAAGGATGGTAAAACTCTTTAAATAGATCATTCCGATCATTAAGAAGATAATTCTGAAAATATTTGAAAAGCCATTTGCAGCCATTTATTTTACGCGCGACCATTCCCAACTAACACGCACACAAGTTCGTGCACATTAAAATTTAGGTATTTATGAATGACTACCGCATTGTCAACACGTTCTGTTTTTTAGGTAATAGAATGTTATTTTTTTGGAAAAAAAACCTTGTTTTTTATTTCAATAAACGATTATACAAGCGAGTCTGAAGCTTCTGTGTAAATTTGGGCACTTCTCAAAAAATCTCCCTGTATAAGCTTCGTTTTCCTGGAATAAAAAGTAAAAGAAAAATAAACCAGCTGAAATGGATATCAAAAGGACTAAAAAATGTTGTAATGCAAAAAGAATCTCCGTTATAAGTACTATACTAAAAAAACAAATAGTAACAAAGTAGTATACAGGAAATATTCAAAAATTTTAAGACAATAAATTATTCAAAAAAATATACTAATAGCAAATACATATAGATTAGTAATAATGTTGTAAAAGCAACTTGGCAAGTGATAAAAAATGAACTAGCTACTAAAGTAACAGACAAGTTCATAGACACCGTAGAATATAACATTGTATTCAATAATCCAACAGAGATTGCTGATGCTTTCTATGAATATTTTATTAAAAAAATTCTATGATTATTTCATTGAAATAAGGATAACCAGCAAATTTTATTCAAAAACCCAATAAATAGAATCTCAAACTCACATTAAGAAACACATTAAGAAAATTTACAAAATTACATTAAGAAAACGATAGTCATTAAAAATTCTAAAGGTTATGATGGTATATACACAAAAGTAGTGAAAGCATGTAAAGGACAAATAAGTAACGTACTAGCTTTACTGGTTAATTTATTAATGGAAACTGGGTCTTTTCCTGAAAAATTAAAAATAATGATCTTAAACCCTTTGTACAAGAAAGGTGGCAAAACCTCAGTAGATAATTATCGTACAGTCACACTTATTCCTATACTTTCCAAAATATTTGAGAAGGTAAGGCATACAAAGCTTACCAGCTAGAAAGCTATTTAGAAAAACAGCTGTAACATAATAGCTAAAGATCAACATCCAAAAAACGAAATCAACAACAACTGATTTCAGTTATGAACAACGCAAAACGTTTCACGACTGCATTCTTTTTTGACATGTCAAAGGCTTTCGATTTTGTGTACCATAACTCCTTCAAAACTGGAACAATATGGCATAAGAGACCAGAGAGTGTGCTAGACACAGTTGGTAAAAATCATATTTGAAAGGTATCGAGGTGTTTAATCTAGACGAGACAAATGTTGTACGAACATTTAAATTAAAATTTAAAATGAATTTATTTGGTGTTCCTCAAGGTAGTGTACTAGGACCGCTGTTATTTTTATTGTACATTAATGACTTACCAAATGTTACGAAGCACATAAGTATCCTATTTGGAGATTGCAGAAACAATAAAATAAAAAAAAATGTTTATTTATTTTAGAAATGACAAAATTCATTAAATAGCACCAGGAATGCCTTTATAACCAAAGTCGTGACATAGATCACAGAATGAAAAGATATCCGGACAAAATTATTATTGACAGTATACCAAGGACGGCAGGGTTTCAGAGGAATTGTTACTGGATGGGCAAACAGTTTACAATAAATTACCTCACTCAATAAAACGCCAACCATGTCATACTTTTAAAAAGAGTCTCAGCCAATGGCTTCTAAAACACACGTTCTATTCGGTTAAGGATTTTATGAACTACAAAGAAAAAAAATGTAAATATATAAAATATGTAATAAATATAAGAATAATTGCCTTATTTATTTCTTCGAAGTTCGTACCGACCAATAGAAACTTTAATCTCGGCTCTATAACAACAACAGGGCCAGGGGAAACTGAAAATCAGCGTTACACAGTCAGCATTATGCCGTCTGTTGTAGCATAAGCTGAGTTTCCACCTTTTGCCAAGGAGATTTTCCTTCTTTTTTAAATTCCTAAGTAATTTTAATATTTTTGTAAAATTTTTGTCTTTATATAATATTGTTAATGTTCTTTTTAAATTCTCTTTTTTATTTTTTAGCATTTAAATTTATTGTACAATCTATTTTTTCTTGGCAATAAACGATTATTATTATTATTAAAGAGTTTTAGTCAGGATTGTTATTGACATTGATATACTTATTTTGACTTTAATATATTATTACTTTGATATTAGCTGTCTGTGACTGATAATATTTGCATGCTACTTGTAATGGCTGAACTTGAAGTTAAAAAGCTGTAAAACACTATCGTCATCTTGTTAAATACCCAGTTCAGTGGCAAATAAATATTATTATTATCATCAGCCATTCTTCTGTACGCCCATTTATGATCTATATGTAAATTAACAATTATTTGCCACAAGCGTCACAACCTTTATTTTTGCCTTTGTTTAACTTGCTACTGCCGAAGAGAACTTTATTGTTCTTTAGAGTTCCGTACCCAAACGGCAGATTATTAACGTTGTCTGTCTGTCTATAAGTGGGGCTTCCATATAGTAGACATGCCGTTTTTATAGATAATGGTACGGAACCTTTCGTGCGCGAGTCGGACTCGCAATTGGCCGGTTTTTTTTTAAATTAAAGGCAATTCTTTCCACATATATTATACTACTACTTGCACTATAGATTAAACAGAAGAAAAGCGATAAAGTGATATCTAATGTACTACATGATTATTATCTTATTTGATCACATTATTATAATATATTTTTGTGTTAATGTATGATTTTAGCAAATCTATAGAAATTTATACAAAATTGTCAATGTATATATAATAAACGAGGTTTTGGTTTTAAATGATACATCCATACTAAAGAAAGTATTCAGAGGTGCAAATCTTAGCGTTTCGAGTGAAGCAGTTTCACACGTTGCAGAATTAAGTGTCTGTGCTGCATATAAGTTGTTTCAGATGCTTTATGCTGAACGTACCATCGCTCGATACATTTCCTGAGATACACGTATAAAAGTAAAGTAACAGCCTATACATGTGCCACTGCTAGGCAAAGGCCTCCTCTATACAGAGGTTATCAGGGCAAAGTCCACCACGCGGCCCCACTCGGATTGGCGGACTTTACATGTCTTCGAATTAATTTTTGTTCGTTATTATTTCGAAAATATGCAGGTTTCCTCACGATGTTTTCCTTCACCGCGGAGCACGTGATAAGTCAGCACTTCAAGTTAAATACTTCATTGGTGCCGGGGATCGAACTCAGGTTGCTCGAGTACATTGAATTAAAGGCGAGCGCCCGGACACTGATCTATCACGGCTCTCATATCAGATACACGTATATTTGAACAAATTTCAAAATTAATTTTCTCTTAAAAATAATGGTATGTCGATGCTAACCTTCCTTGAAATTCACTCTTTTGGCTTATTGTCGTCAAGATGAAAACTGTCTGTAAACTAATATACAGCGTGTCGTTACCACCGCGACAATAAATGAACACACATATAGAGGATAACTTTTTTAAATTTTATTAAACATTTACATTCTTTAAACATCAATATTTACCGATTTATTAAATTTTCCAAAACTAACGTTTTTAGAACACCCTTACATATAAAACGCTAACGTAAAGTTCATTTGTAAAGGTCACAAAGCATATGATGGTGTTGAATGAATTTGAAAGAGATAAAACATACAGTTAGAAGGAGAGATTTGTAGTGCGACGCTGCGGCAACGATAAAAAAGTGTCTGAATGTATGAATCAGTCAGTTGTAGTTATATAGGTGTTACAAATTTTGTTTCTTTTTTATTTAATTAGTTTGTTTGAAAAATATATTTTTTTTAATTATGGATTTTTTTAACGTTTTACATTTTTTTATGATTATTGGCAAGTAGCCTTAGACGTGTGTTAATTTATTGTCGCGGTGGTAACGACACGCTGTATATCGAAACGCTCCGAATGGATTTGAACGCAGTGCCAGCCTATTGACAGTCGGACGTGGCGGTACCGTTAAGTCTCATCGATATTCCGTTGTGATCGCGCGCCGCCCGTTGGGACCATTCGGCGACACTTTTAACGTTCCGTCACCCGAAGCCAGGAGAGAAGGAGGACGCACGTTTATCAGAGCGCGGAGGGCCGCGTTGCGCAAAAGCGCCTCGCGCGCCTCCCGCGCCCTCGGCCGCTTGCGCAACTCGCCTCACACGAGTACCATCCACTCGTGTAAAGGTAGACGTTCATCATTACATCTTTATTGAGTGCCTTTTACTTCATGAGAAACTGCAATACTCGTTAAGAAATATTGTGTTTTTCTATGACTTAAAATAGGAATCCACCACGACGCCAATTTTTGATCCCATACCAATTACATTAACTTCTAATTTAGAGATTATCTATTAATAGAGTGTGGCATACAAAGTGACATGATGATGCCTTAATTACATAGGACGTTATGGAGAATAGTGATATATTCAGTTGCTTCAAGTTATATTATCGCATGTTACTTTATTTGCAGAAGAGTAACAGTCGTGTTGCGACCCACCGCGCAAAAATTTCACTTTGCTATATTATTCAAAATAAGATAATTGCGCCAATTCTTTTTTTGTGTTTATTCGATAACCTACTATTACTAAGCAACAGCAGCTTATGCTGGCTCATTCTGCCCGTGGTGCTGCGGCATCGCATTGCGAAACACGGCCGCGCAGTACCCCCCCCCCAACAACCCTGGTGGGCGGCCGCCCGTCGCTCCCCCCCCCCCCCCCCCCTCCCCCTGACCGCTCAAGCAGAAGTCCAACGGCCGATCGGCCGCAGAGCTGCGAGAGGGGCCCCGCGGCACCAGCTGAAATGCCTATCGCGTGCCGGCGCTGCTGCAGACGGTGCTTCAATTCGTTTCACTACCTACACATTGAACATAAGTCTCAATTGATGTAATTGCAAACGCTAAAGCAGTAGCAGTGTGTGTTAAGGCTAAGTTTCTGCATTTGCGATTGGTATTGATGTACAGAAAGCACACTCGTGTCGAGTTTCAATAAGCAGTTAAGCCCATTGCATGCTCACTATCCATCCTAAGTTATTTATAGACGGACAGAAGGCTGATAATTTCCTACTTATATGTATAGTAGATAGTATTGATCAAATTATTATATGGTATCGTTTTAAATGAAAACTTAGAGGCAACGAGCTTATAGGCATTCGATGTTGCCCCTATTTAAAATTAAATAATAATTAATTTTGTTTCTTACCAACAATTTCTTAGCAATTAGTTAATCTTCTAGTCGCCGTTAAGCTTAAGTTTTAAGTGGGCCTCTTTTCTTTTGTACCGTTTACCTTTATTTCGCCACACCCAAGTCGTTTCTCCGATTGTCATAATGGTCTATACGTTTTTTTATGTAGCTAGTTGATTAACGAACGTGGTGATTTATTATGGAAATTTGGTACTCACTTCATTAAATTTGACTTTAAGTAAATAATTTAGTGCCGTAGATAGCTCAGAGTATAGTATAACATGTATAGGCAGCTACTTTACGTGTACTTTCTTTTAACTAAAAAAACAAATATAATCCGCAGTGGGTCGCGTAGTGGACGCTATAAATCCTACGCTCTATTTACAGATTTGTCCTTTGCTCAGTTGTGGCACGTGATAATATGGCTGGTACTTTTTAAAATCAACTATTTATTACATTATATATTATTGCATTACATATAATAGATAAAGCGATGGTTAACAGGCAAGGTTTCTTCTCTTGTTGTGTCGTTTCCTTTTGCCAATTATGCTGTTCCATTTTTATGAAATATGTTTTGTTATAATCAAAGTACATAATATTGCATATCGACTATTAACGTAACTAAATCACTTTTTTTAGGAACTGACGCTTGACAAAATTCAGTTTCTTAATAATTTTCAACTTCTTAGCCAAAAGCGCAGTTTGGGACAATTTGCCTTTACATTAGCTACAAGTATTTTGCGACCTTCGAAATCGATTGCTAACAGTTTCACGGACGCGGAAGCAGCTTGTGAGGTACAGTTGTGCTCGTTTACTTAAACTCTGTTTCACATTGTTGTTTATCACGCGATGCCTTGATGTGCGCGATATAACCGATTAGTTATTTCAAAGCCTACAAGGCTAGGTATAAATGTAAATTTGCATTGTGATGAAACTGATTTATTTACGATGAACTAAGGTATGGAGTATCGCATTGACTTGGACATGTGACTTTTGCACATGCGACAAAGGGGCTTGCATTGGGTTGTATTGCGTTGCGATGGCGTGGCATGGCGTGGCTTGCCGTGGCGTGGCGTGGCGTGGCGTGGTGAGAACGAAGGCACGGCTATACTCGCGTCGGCTGACCGTGTGTTGCGGCACTGCTGACCTTCGCCCCGTGCAGCCCGATCAATAGGCACACGGCGCTCACTGCGCCAACGACGGCTCAATCCGTTGCGATATGCAGTGATTCGGTGGCCACTTTTGCTTGTAAACCAGCAATCGTTCCACACGTCGTTCGGAAAACTATATCTATGTCAAATCTATAAAAAGCTATATATTCTGAGAATTTAGTAAGTGAAGCAGAACAAACCGAGCATGGGGCACGGATGGGCCCGATTCATCGAGAGCGAGGCGGCCAGAGTTCCGCGTGGAAAGCGGCGCGCTCTCCATTGTTGCATACCGGCCGGCTGCTCGGCACCGCGAAAGTGTAGCACTCTGCGATTCTCGTGCCAATTCGTCCGCCGCGTTCCCAGATCCCACCTAGCACCAGCACCATACTAATCTGGGAATAAATCATTACCATGTGATACATATGTATAGATTATTAATTGTATAATTTACACAATCACCGTTCTAATGTATATTAGAATTGTGTGCGAGGCATTGCTACTGGCGGCGTGCCCGAGCGGGTTAACGATCCCACCACACTTTTACTCTTCCTTGTGCGCCGGTTGCCAAGTTTTGCGGCGATGCATTTTGCTCAACATCAATCGACCCCAATCCGTTTTGGGAACAGCGTTGACCTATTTCCTACCTAAATTTCGTTACGGTCGGAAAAGTAAACCGATAGGGATGTTGCATTTTGTGCTAGTCTGTCTATATATAGAGATTTTTGTGACTTTGAACTTCTTAGTTGGGCAAGCTCGTGGGGTTGCGCAACTGCCGAGCCGCGGCTTTGCGCGCGTCATCATCGCCATACACGGAAGTGATATTAAGCGGGCGACACCTTGAACCGCCGCGAATGTAAGCGTCCAGTGCCACATGGTCCACCAGTGTCCGTTTGGTAATCTCTCGGTCCGCGGTCGAGGCGTAGGCGTAGGCGACGGGGAGGTGCGCACGCGCCGCGACGAGCGACAGGGACAGCTAGCGCGGCGCGAGCGGTAAAGGGACGGGGCGGCGGACGGGAGGGGCGGAGGGGCGAAGGGGGGAGCCTTGGCGGTCGGACGTCATCACGTCAGTCGTCCCCGCGATGTGCCACGCTGTGGTTCTCGGCGTGCTGTTCTCACTACCGTCGTACCTGTACTCGGCCGTGCCTTTTAGGTGAGCCGCGTTGCCGTTGTGTGCGTGTGTATGTCCGTCCGTGTTGTATAGGGCAGTTGATGCGTCGACTGAATGATGACTTGCTTCGAGTGATTAATTCGAGCATTCTCCGTAAACGGATCGCGCGAAACCCGGGGCGCAGGCGGATAGCAACCGTGTCGCATCGCAGGGTTCACCTCGCAGTCTATGAATCAATCCAGCGAATCGCGCGTCGCGTACAAATAATGCATTAGACACGCACTATGGGCGCCTGCCATGGATCGCTGCCTGGAGATGCTCGTGCTGTGGCTCTCGGTGCTCGTGGACAAGCTGCTCGGGAAGTTAGTACCGCCGCAAACCGAACTTGTGCTCATGCGATGAATTTTCGTATGGGTGATCATTGGACGAACGTTGCTATTGAAGAATGTCATTTTGGTCATTTGTGTAGTCTTACTAATCTACTCAATGATGTCTGTCTACCATAGCATGGTGTTGCTAGATTTCTTCTAACCAAGCGCGTGCGAATCATCTTTACAAGATGCAATAGCACGGGAATCGAAATCATCACCGCGTAGTGAAAAGGTGAGCGCGCACCGTGCACCGCAACCTTTCATTAATATCCTATTTCTGTGATTCTACCTAGTTTCCTCGGCACCTTTCCACTTCTAAACTTCTTAATTCCTACGATTCCAATATTAATAAAATACGTATGAATCGATCAAATGTAAGTCTAGTAATGGCGATGACGCAAGGTCGAACAAAAACGTGTTATCGGTTTCGAATAAGATACTAAATGTTATACAAAGAAATGTTTGTTTTACCCAATCTAATCAATAGATTATCCATACTTTACTATCCCTATCGATATTCTGATACGCACTAGCATATTTTCGCTATTTTAATGGCAGTATTTCAGTCAATTTTCGTAATAATATGGATATATTAATAGTTGAACTTCGTCATCCGTGGTATTTTCAAATACAAACCAATAAGAAAATTATGAAAGAATAATTCGATTCAAATTAAAATGCCATTAGTTTAATGATGGGTGTAATTTCTATTGTTCACGTTAATTATGCAACTTAATATATAGTACCTGGAGGACCTGCTCGGTTTTTTTTTTTGGTAAATCATGTATTTTGGAAAAAAAAATAAAGAAAATGATCTGGTATAGAAAAAAAAGTAAAAAAAAATTTGTATGTAAATGATCGTGATACGAACCGCGGCCGTCTGTTTTGGGGCCGCCCCATTACCGACCTATTACCGAGCTATTACATTTTTTTTGCGGCGAAATTTACTGTCATATTCGAATGATATTTTTCATTCCCTGAAAACAGGGATGAAAGGACATTTTATAAAAATGAAACCAAGCTAGATCGATTTTTCGCCCCCGAATCTACGCACATACGAAATTTCATGAAAATCGCTGGAGCCCCGTTGCTCGTATAAAGGATAAGATTGGTCGCTAAGGATGATAAAGGTCGCTCTAAAATGTCATGGCACATGTCAACCAGTCCGATTTGATTATTGCAAATGTTTTTTTAATATTTGCCTGCTAATTAGGCTGTTTATGAATGTGGCCGCGGTCGTTATAGCGTTGGCCTACGCCGACTGTGTGTTTCGAGTTCCCAGCGTATACTATTTACGTCTAATTGGAAACGAAGTTGTCGAGGTTAACCAGATGTCGCTGGTGAATCGAGTCCAGGCCGCCGTTGTTCGTAGCGGGCGATCGTCACAGTATCGGCGGCCATTACGTGGCGGTGACGCGTGCGCCGATTGCGCCGATTGCGCTGATTTGGCTCCCGTGTTGCAGGAAGGCGCGGCGCAAGGAGCGCGAGGGCGAGCCCGCCGGCGACCCGAAGCTGTACCTGCAGGAGGCGCTGCTCGAGCGCAAGCTGCCCGAGCTGGACATGCGCCAGCTGGTCGAGCTGCCCCACGGCCTGGACTACAACGAATGGCTCGCCTCGCATAGTTAGTATTCTCACCGGTTACCACGACGCCGCGCCTTGGTGTTCGAACGCCGAAGTGGCAATGTCGACGACACTGAACAACTGAGCGGATAAAAATTTCACACGGGGAAACAAGTTACTGACGTGTTTGTTCTTCCTGCTCGATAACGGAGTAGATAGAAAGTGGTCGTGCAAATATTGTAGCGATAAGCCCAACCACGCGGGGCGACCTTGCCGTCCATGATCCCGCCCCGTTGGCCCCCTCGACTCGCGCTCGCTCGGCCGCACCAACAGAAAACGTTAATTCAAAATTAACCTTTCCACTTTTATCTCGCTTTTTCCCGTACCTTTACACTTTCTTTAAACGCATTATTTAAAAAAAAAATGATGCTTTGGTTTTTAACCAAAATAAACACGCTAGACGGCAAACTTGTGTCTTTTTAAGAATATTGCACGCACCTCCGCGCGTGAGATATTTGACATAGTTAAAATATAAATGCAGAAGAAATGCAGAAACCTAAAATTATAAACACAAATACATAAAGTAAAATGTTTATTGTTTGCATTCATAGTGTTCACGCCAAACTCATAATAAAGATTGTTGCCAACGAATTTTTAATGTCAGACTGAATGGGCGACTACTAGTTTATTACAAAATGCATCGTATCCAATAATATTATGGACAATTTTATTTGAATTTTAATAAGCTTTGCACGGGTGGGATGTTATTACATCTCTAGTAGTGGCAGTAGTTTCTCATTATTCTTCTTAACCCTTTTTATTAGCCCTGAAAACTAAATTACTGTCCGATTTTTGACAAATCTGTTCACAGCATCAGTGTATGTTTCAAGAATTCAAGGCTTATTAAAACATGTAGAAAAAGTACGAAAAGATTGTCGCCGCTGTGGGAATCGAACCCACGTCTTCGGCATTCGCGGCCTGACGCTCTAGCCACTGAGCTAAACGGCTGATAGCCACAGCGACGAAAATCTTAACGCCTTCTTTCTACATTGTTATTTAGCATTTGAAGCAATGCTTGGCGAATCTATTGTTATATCCTTTCCAGCATACAAACAATTTCGAATATTTCGAACTTGAATAAGATGCTAGATGAAATGAATGTTAATTGAACCTTCAAGACATCGGTTTTTATTAATGAATAGTACTAATTGTGATACAAATGTTTACACCTATAGACAACAAAATTATTTTGCAAATTTATATTACCTTTAATCCAGATATCTCGTTATTTCATATTAAATACATGTGCGCCTCTTTAAGTGCCATAGTTGTTTATTGATCATCAAGGCCGCAAGTTATCCACTGTTGAACAAACGTCACAAAAAATGACACTTCGCCATTTGCGGATATTCTTGCACTATTGTGAAACTAGTGAAGAAAGAACTGTTTATTTGGTACAAAAGAAATATGACCTTAAAATGTAATAATCAATGCACCGAAATGGTCATTACTCAGCATTACATCACGAAAAGAACTGTGGCCGCATGTTATACGTGTCTTACGCAACCGGGAACCATGTATACATGTAGATGCAAATGATAGTCGGGAGGATTGTTTGTGAGGATGACGGTGCAAGAGCGCGAAAGTGACGTGTCGGTGTGGGTGGTGGCGTCCGCAGCGCTGGCGCTGTTCGAGCACGTGAACCTGCTGTACGGCACCGTGTCGGAGTTCTGCACGGCGGCCACGTGCGCCGACATGACGGGCCCCGGCGGCCGCTCCTACGCGTGGTACGACGAGCGCGGTAAGAAGACGCGCGTCGCCGCGCCGCAGTACGTCGACTACGTCATGACCTACACCCAGAAGACCGTCAACGACGAGACCGTCTTCCCCACTAAGTACGGTGAGTTGTATGTGTGTGTATTCAGTTGAGAGTGAAGTTCACAATAGTACGGGATGTGATCTAGTGGCGCTCGCTTCACAGCGAACGAGTTCCCCGCACAGTTCGAGGGCGTGGTGAGGCGCGTGGTGCGGCTGCTGTTCCACGTGGTGGCGCACCTGTACGCGGCCCACTTCCGCGAGCTGGCGCTGCTCAGGCTGCACGCGCACCTGCACCTCACCTTCGCCCACCTCACTGCGCTCGACCGCCGCTTCGCGCTGCTGGACCACAAGGAGACCGAGGTGAGTTCGTTCGTTCAACGAGCGTTGGCCGTTGGCCGTTGGCCGTATGGCCACTTGTCGCACCGGTGTAACGAGCCCGCTTACCCCCGCGGCAGGTGCTGCGCGACCTGGAGGTGGCGCTGCGGCTGACGGAGCCGTCGGCGGCGGGCGCGGCGGGGGCGGGGGTGGGGGGCGCAGAGGGGGGGGAGGGCGCGTCGTCGCCGCGGCGCCGCTCGCCGGTGGTGACGCAGCCGCTGGCCTCCGCGTGACGCCGCCTTGTTGACTCTATTGTAAATATTTCACTCTGTTAAGTAGTTCTAGGTGATTATGATTAGTTTATAAATTTGTGATTGCTTTGGTTGTAAATAAAAGTGATATTTGTTTAACTAATAAACTGAAAAGCTTTATGAATCGTTGTTCTCGTCTTTTGACCTTTTTAATCCCTATTTATGTAGCAATTTTTTCAAACCAGTTTGCCACATTACAAGGGAGGTAGGATAAACGGGGTCATCTTCTTCTTCTTCATACTTGGCATTAATCTTGGGCATTGCCAGGGTCTGCCTTCCAAATGAATCTCCTCCACTTTTCCCGATCTTCAACATCCTCAGGGGTCATTCAGACCTCTCATATCCTGCTTCACGACTACGTCACGGACCCCGAGACTGCCTCGAATGAATGCGTTACGTTGCGGTCAGCCCCGTGACGCCGCACATCCACCTTAGCATCTTCATCTCCGTGACGTGAAGCTCTTGAGTGTGTCGAGATAGAACTGGCCAGCACTCGCTACCATACAGAAGTACAGGTCAGATGATGCCTTTGTACACCTGTCCCTTGAGCTTGGACGGTATCATACGGTCGCAGAGCCCACCTGTGACCTCCTGCCACTTATAGGTTAGGTTAGATTACATCATCGGGGCCTATCTGTCGCACCGTCGTGTGGTGTACCCGTGCCGAGACAGGCACGGGTCAACGGAGGTTACGTGTAGAGTTCCACAGGGGTTTGTTTTTAGGGCCATTCCTGTGGAACGTAGATTATGATTCGGTGCTGCGTGGCGCCTACCACAGGGGTGTCTAGGTAACTTGTTACGCTGACGACACCCTTGTCACCGCTCGCGGCGTCAATTTTCACCGGGCTGCTACTCTCGCCACATCGGGTGGGGTGCATTCGGCGACTCGGGCTAGAGATGGCACTCACTAAATCCGAAGCCCTGTTTTTCTATAGACCTCGGAATGCGCCACCTGCGGACGCCCACATAATAGTGTTCGGCGTCCGTGTCGACGTTAAGCCGACAATGAGATACCTCGGCCTAGTCCTAGATCTCCGATGGAATTTCGTTCTTCACTTCGAGCGTCTAGCTCCAAAATAAGCGAGAGCAGCGGCAGCTCTTGGAAGGCTGCTCCCGAACGTTGGCGGCCCCAAAGACTCTTGTCGCCGCCTATACACCAGGGTCGTGAGGTCTATGACCCTGTACGGTGCTCCCGTTTGGGCCGACACCCTGAATCGCCGGACCATGGCGCTTCTGCGCAGACAACAGAGGGTGTTGGCTATACGAGCCATTCGGGGCTACCGGACGATTTCCGGTGAGGCGGCGAGCGCGTTGGCAGGTTCCATTCCCTGGGACCTAGAAGCCAGTATCCTCGCATCACTGCGTTTCTGGCGCGAGGGGGCTATAGCCCGGGGTCACCTGCCAGCCTTAGAGGAGTTGAGGGGTGCAGACTAAGGCTGCGCTCACTCGCTATCGCCGAGTGAGAGCAGAGGCTGGAGCACCCCAGTGCCGGCCTAAGAACCATAGAGGGCATACGTCCGGTACTCAGTCGGTAGCTGGACAGGCGTCATGGCACCCTCACCTACCGGGTGACGCAGGTTCTTTCGGGACATGGCTGTTTTGGGAGGAACCTGTGCCACTTGGCGGGGAGGGAGCCAACAGCGGTTTGCCACCACTGCGACGTATGTGTCGAGGATACGGCCCAACACGCACTGGAGGAGTGCCCAGCCTGGCGGGAGCAGCGCTGAGAGGTGATGGCTATCGTGGGGCACGATCTTTCGCTACCCGCCGTGATCCGCGCTATGATGGATAGGGAGAGATCGTGGGGTGCCGTCCTTGCAGTCTGCGAGGACATAATCACCAGGAAGGAGGGCGCGGAAAGAGAAAGGGAGGCAACTGCCACCCTGGAAGTCCGCCGCCGGAGACCAGGGCGCAGGGGGCTAGCCTACGCGCGCAACCTTCCCCCCTGATAGCAAGCCCCGGGGCGGCAGATGTAGGACTAACTGTTGCCCCGCGGAGGGCTTGAGAGGGGTGTCGTGCTCATTGCACCGACACGGCATCGTTTGGCTGGACCGGGTGTCTAAGCACCCGGGCAGAGGAGGCCTGAGAAGGCGACAGTCGCGCCGGGGTTCGCGGCAGATTGCGTTTTCGTGTTCCCGTGTACCCGGCCAAGCGACAGCGCAAAGTTGGTTTTTTGGTGGGTACCCCGTAACGCCCACATACCCCTGATGCCTACCCACAAGGCGGCGGGGGATCCATAAAGGATTTTTCCCAGGTAAAAAAAAAGAATTAGGTTAGCTTAGCCCACGCAGCGCGTATCCGGCCTTGGGCGTCATGGTCGATGTTTCCGGACTCGTGCAAAACGGATCCAAGATACCTGAACGATTCCGCCTTAACGGCTGTTTCAGAACCTATTTGGATCGTGCTAGAGTCCGAACAAGATAAATGGGGTCGTGCACAAGTATTTTCAGACGATATGCACTTACTAATTTAAATTTTAAAAATAAGTCGTACAAAAGACATGATAAATAATAATAAATATAAAATCAAAAATAAAAAGCAGTCTTAGTGTATGTTGTCTTATTCAGTAGTAGACTAGAACTAGTTATGTGGTGAAAATAAGAAATAAACATAATAATCTGTTTTTTTTCTTTATCAACCAAGTGTTATTATCCTTGTGCTAGTGTACTAACATATTTATAACCACAACACTACTAAAAGTGTAGTGGTTATAAATATATTATTTAGTATTTGACGGTTCTATTGCACCCCATACAATATTAACACTTAATTTTATTGTTTTGTATTTTAACTAACGACCGGTCACGGCTTCGCGCGGGTGCAATGTATTATATATAAATATATAAATCACTCTATCTGGTAAAAAAAAAACGCATCAAGCGGTCATAGGGACAGACCGACAGAGGAACGACTTTGTTTTATACTATGTAGAGATGATGTTACTTTTTATTTATAGGTATCACAACATATGCTTTTCTTTGTCATTCATGCTTTTAACACCTAATACTTTAAGGATATGAATGGGAACAGATTACAATAAACTGAGAAGAACGCCTACAATAAATTGAGTTGGCACATGGTTAATGAGTTCAAAAAGTTTAAATTGATACAATCGTTATTCTTCTCCATTTTCAATTTATTGCAAATATTAAATGTCATTATAATTCACATGGCTATAGGTACTAATCGATCAGGATATTTATTCCCTTTATTAATTAAGATTATGCTTCTGCATGATATCAATGCAGAGAGGGCGCTACCGAGCCACGATAAACATCAGCTCCGTATTTAGTGTAAACAAAAAATATAAACAAGTGATATTTCATTTTCAAAGCAAGTGCAGTGGATTCATAAATAAGTGACTATCGAAATACATTGTGGACAAAGTTCAAAAACAGTGAATAATAAATTATATACGTGCAAAACATTGAAGTGAAAAAGACGTTATAAAACGATTATTAGTGACATTATCCGACATAAATTGCTGACAGTGGTCTACAAATAAATGTGCAAAGTGCAAAACGCTTTTCTACATCATTCAAGTGTAAAAATTACAAAAATCAATAAAGTCGGAACATGATTTTGCAGATTTTGTAGTTTTGATCAAAATCAGCGCCATCTAGAGAGAGATTGTTACACACCAAACAGCTGTCCTGTTCTCTAGTACCCAGTCGAGCCAACAGAGGGCAAAACAAGTAGCAAAACAATACCAAAAAACCACAAATAAGATATTATCGTTAAATATAACCAATAATCATGGACGAAGTTATGAATATGCTCAGAAAAATTCAGAATGAGCTGAATGAACAAAAAGTAACAATTGTACAATCAGCTGATAAAGTTACGGAACAAGTTACGCAAAATATTAATTACGCATTAGAGGAAAAGTTCAAAGCAATAGATGAAAAATACGAAAACCTCAACGAGAAGCTGGAAAACCAAGAAAAAAGATTGTACTTTCTAGAAAAATAGTCAAGGCAAAGGAACATCGTGATTTTTGGTTTAGCGGAGACTGAAACATCGTATGCAAATTTAGAAAAAAACATATTAAATTTATTAAATAAATATTTCTCTGTAGGGCTAGAACTCAGAGACATACAAGAGACTAGGAGAATAGGAAAGAAAGGAGAAAAACCTCTGCCGATTACCGTAACTTTTACTTCCTTGGGCACGAAAATAGAAATCTTTAAACAGAGGAGAGTATTAAAAGATACCACTTATTATATAAAAGAAGACTTTCCACAATATATTTTAGAAAAAAGAAGAGAACTTCAGGAGCAAGTTAGAATTGAGAAAGAAAAAGGAAACTTCGCCACCATCAAGTACGACAAACTGATAATACACCACAAAAACACAGATACACCAGGCAACAAGAAAAGAACTCTACCAATATCACCCACCTACAATGATCTTATGCAACCAGAACCAAAGGCACAAGCTAATAAAAAGAACAAAACTCAAACAGGACTACAAAGATCGTCAAGTTTATCAGAAGGAGTTATCAAACCAGGAATACTCAGTTTCGTAACAACCAAAAATCAGACCATTAACAACCAAAACAACTTACCAAACAACCAAACAAACAAAAATAATAAACAATAGCAATTACCGCCCTCTCTCACGGAAAACACATTACAAATTAAAACGAACACTAAACCACATCTTCCAAGCCGGCTGGTCTCCGTGGAAGATCACGACCAAAACCCCCCAGAGGAAAAACTAGAAGTTTTCTCAAACACCACAAAAAATAATCATCACAACACCCTATATATAGCGACTTATAATGTTAAAACACTATCGACTTATTCACGTTTACTGGAACTAACAGAATCCTTAAGAAACGTAAAATACGACATTATTGGTCTCTCAGAAATCAGAAGATTCGGCAACAAAATAGAGGAACATGACGAGTTTATTTTATACCACATTTGAGAAACGCCAGGATTATATGGAGTAGGCTTTATTATCGAAAAACACCT